TTGCAGAGGCTTTTGAGAAAGTGCTCCCTTCATGTAACCAGGATTCAGTGAAGGCCCTGACAGAGGAGGAGGAGACTGGTCACTGGACAGAGAGGCCCTCCTCTGCCTTCAGAGGGGTGAGACCCTAGTGACACATACTGCTTAGGTGGCATTTCCAGTGTTCCACAGGTTTGTGCCAAAATGATAATTTCAAGTAGTTGACGGTCATAAACAGATACTATATTGGTGACAGATGATTTGAATGGTGTCAGATGTCCTGGGCCCAGAGAGATAGTGACATATCCTTCATCCTTTACTTTCTCGTGAGTAGTTCATCCAGTGCTTGAAAGCCACTGTGATGGACCAGTGCCCCAAAACACCTCAAGTGCTTGCTTGGCTTTCATTTAAATGTGCTTAAAATCTGGAGCACTCATAGGTGTGTGAGGTGCTGAGGGTGGCGAGGGGAGTTGTCGAGGCCACACACTGGGCTTGGGTTCTGTGCTCACACAGCCTCACGTTCCTCGTGATCTGGCTAGGACAGAGGGACCACTGCTCAGGAAGTCTGCGGTTGGACCTGTCCAGCATGTTCACTGCAGGTGGAATTGGAGCCCCATTCATCCTGACCCCTTCCCACCAAATGGTTGGAAGAGTTGTGTGCATTTAAATCTTGGTAGGCACTTTTAGGAAACCGCCCTACTGAGAGGCAGCTGGTTATCAGCTCATCCTCACAGGCAGCATATTTTCGTGTAAGTGGGGAGGGGCTGGAAAAGAGGGAGTTGCGCTTGGCCTTGAAGCCCCTCGGTGATGCTTGGCAGTGGCAAATAAGACCCTCAGGCCCGAGAGCCAGTGCTGATCTCCACAAAGTGGGTGAGCACAATCTCCACTGTCCAGAGAGCCAGAGCCTGTCCGAGACCACAGTCAGTCCCAGCTGCAGCAGCCCTTTCCACTCAGCAGCAGGCCCTACACCAGCAGTGGCGACTTTGTGGCACACATGCTGCAGCTGGTTGCTGATTATTGAAAACTCTAGAAGTTTACCATGATTGCCCCAGACCCTTTTTGTTTTGAATTAGTGTTCATCAGAACAAGAACCAGAAGTCTACCAGGACATTTGGTTGTGAGGGACAGGACCTGTCACTACAGCTTGTTTTTGTCTACCTCTTGCATGGCTCATCAAGTAGGGCCTGAGGTGTTGGGAAGGGGTACAATGCCAACATACTCGCAGGCACGTTACCTTTGCCCTGGCTCCATTTTATTGAGAACTCTAAGGCAATGGAAGCCACAATTGGTGATGAAGGCTGGACTCACTTAATGAGACAACATAATGACCTCTTAGTAACATGGAAAGTCCGACTGGACAAGTGAGTCCCTGCATGTGCTGGGGTGGGCATGAGGGCTCCTGGTGCAGGCAGGTGGCAGGGTGGCCCATCTAGCACCCATGTGCTTTCAGCCTAACTGGCACCAAGTATTCTTCCAGGTGATCTGTGATCCATTAGGAAACCTGCTGAGCCAGAGTGTGTGTTTTCCTTCTTCACCATTACCTAGTGAATACATTAAAAATTTGCATAGTGCTTTAGAAAAACCTGGACCAATACTCGTAGGGAACTTTCATTGGTCATTTTTCTTCACTTTTGTCTTTAATTTTTTTTTTTTTTTTGTCTTGAGACAAGGTCTTACTAAGTTGCTGAGGCTGGGTTCACAGTTGCAATCCTCTCTCAGCCTCCCAGAGTGCTGGGATTACAACTGTGCAGCATTACACCCACTTTGTCCATATTTATTAAAAGTTCTGGCTGGGTATGGTGGCACATGCCTGTAATCTCAGCACTCAGGAGGCTGAGGCAGGAGGGTCGTTGGGAGTTTGAGACCAGCCTGGGCTACAAAGTGAGCTCAAGGCCAGCCTGAACTGCATAGTGAGACCCTGTCTTAAAAAGAAAAACAAACAAACAAAAGATGTTGTAAAGCCAGCTGTTTTGCTTGAGGATTGACCAGAGCATTGTTCCACTGCACTGGGGAATGGCCAGAGCTGCTTGCGGCCAGTTTTAGCAAGATAGTTATTGGAGTTTACATTTTAATCATTGTCTTTCCAACACATACTTATGGGAGTATATTAGGAAAAGACTAATATTTAGAAATTATAAGACAGCTCCTTTTCTAAGATTGTTTTTAGAAAATAAAGCAATCAAGAGATTGCAGTAGGACTGTATGACCCTATGAAAAATTTTCTTTATAAAAAAGCCATAAGATGAGAGCCTCAGTTCTGCCTTCATGGCAAATCAGAGTAGGTACCAAATTATTCCAGGTCCCCAAACTGGTGTTTGGGAGAAAGTCTCTGTGGGCTTGCATCATGAATATACATCAGACCCCTGCTTTTAAGCTACAGAGCCTAGGGTAAGCCCTGAGCATTAGAGATGGCCTGCCTTACTCTCCAGATTTCAGTAAAAGTGGGCATTTTTCTGTGCCTCTTTGAATTACAGAGTAGGCTCTCAGCCACATTAGCCTCAGCTCTGTGGAGACAGGGACATTAGGTCGTGAAGCCCTCAGTCCATACTGCTGTACTTCAGGGATAGAGGGTGGCTTAAACTCCATGGGCCCTTCAGAGGAAAATAAATACTTTGGAAGGCAAAATAATTCATTGCTGAAGAGATGGGTGAGTGACCAGAGGCACAGATTAGATATGGGGAGGGAGATGAGATTTCTTCCTGGGCACCAGGGGAGGAGCAAGATCAGGTCTCCTCTGCATGACATTTTCTCCACAGAGGTCTCAAATGACTGATGAGAAAGCTGTCAGGATCTCCCCAGCACATTACATTCTCTTGAGTTTTAAGGCAATTTTAAAATCCACCAACTGCTTAGCTCTTTCCTAGAATTCTCTGACCTGGCACCAGGGGCACTAGCAAGGAGCCTGTTAGCTTGTTGTCTTGTTTATTACAAGAACAATTCAGGAAAAATGTAGAACATTTTGGGGCTCCTTTTAAGCCCTAGGTTTTGGGAGTGTGTATGCTAGAACACAGGCAATCTCTATGTCATACGTGTTGGGGTGCACAAGTTACAGATTGACATAGAATCTGTCCAAAGCCCTCCTTGCCCTCCCTTGTGGGCTCTTTTGCAATGCAGAAGTCCTGCTTTCTTGGTGAGGGGGGCTGTGAAGCTGAGAGCAGGATGAAGTCTGCTGAGAAGAGTACAGGGAAAACTGTACTAGTGCCCAGGTGTAGGGATGAATCTTACCTTGTTTCCTTTATGCTGTGAAACTTGCCCATTCAACCACTACTTCTATACTGTTCCAGGAAAAGTGCCCGTCCCCCTGCACAGGCTAATAAAACGATGGCTAGCTGGAGATTCTTTGTCTTTGTTCCCAGAGAACATTGATCCATTTGATCAATGATCCCACTGACCAGTTGGTGAACATTGATCCCATAGTGCTATTTTCTTGCAGTCTTTGTCTCTTGCTCTTTTTCTTTCTCCCTGTGTACCATGACTCTGGGCAGATCAGGGTCTCACTGAAGGGTCCCTGATAAGTGGTGCTGTGGAAAGGGTTTCCGATAATATGGGAAATGACAAGGAGGAAAATGACGCATTTTTAGCACCATCCGGTAATTGATGAGCTTTTTTAGGAGTGGCAACAAGGAGGCAGCTTTGTAGTCCTTTGTTTCAAGTATCTCTCGGCTCTTGTGACAGCACAAGAGGTGGCCCGAGAGGTGGATGACTTGCCTGGATCTTACTTAGCACAGATGAACTGCAGGTCAGTGCAGGTGAGCCATGTGCCTTGGCTAAGACAGGCCCTCCAGCACCCTGCTCAGGTCCTAGAACCCAATGGCAAGCCCGCCAAGCACTCATACACATCTAGCACCTGTGAGGGCCCTCCCCAAATGAGAAAGTCACAGCCAGACTTTTGCCTGGAGCTCTGTACTCACATACAGGGCCCTCGGCAGATGGGCAGATGCCCTGGGCTCATTACCACCAAGTATCATTCTCCAATACTTTCGCACAAGCAAGTGGTTCCTTTTCCATTTCTGTAGATTCAGATTCATTTGTATCAGTGATACATTATTGTCAACCAGAGAGCTCCAGCCCTCTCTTGTACTCTCCTCTAGGTCTGCCATGTTTGGCAAATGCCCGGTGGAACAGACACCTGAAAACATGACTGAGTGGGCTGTGCCTTTGGTGGGCTGGTTAGCGAGCTCCACAGCAAAATAAGACATTCGTACTGGATGGTGAGTAACTTTGCTCGCTGTCACCAGCATCTTGGCCTACTAGGACACACCACCTAGGATTTTAGTTAACATCACTGCCCTTTTTCCCCTTCTGGTTTTGAATCTGGCCTCACTGGTGACCACAGTCTACAGAAGTCCTCCCCACTGACCCTCGCTCCCAAGACCACACAGGCAGAACTACTAACACGAGAGCTCAGTGGAGCCCAGACAAGGACAGGAACCCAGGAACCTGGTCACCAGAGTCTGGCTCCGTGGCTGCTGCCAGCATATGTGCTGCGGAGGAGGACGTATCTTTGTCAGTGACCTGGTGCTTGTTCTGAAGGATCCAACTTCTGCCATTACTGCTGAGCTGAGCAGAAGGTGCAAGACCATCTCACAAATTGCTACAGGATGTGCAGGCTTTATTTGTATGTTTTTTCATGTTTAGTTTCAAGATCAGCTTTCGGGAGTTGAGTGGATCTTCGGGACTTAAGTGATGGACTCTGTTTCGGTGAGACAGAACCAGAGCTGCCTTTCGAAGCCCTTCATGGCATGACGGCAGCACCTGGTCATCTCCCAGTGCCTTCCCCTGCCTGCCTGCCTGCTGATTCTGCCCCCACCATGGCTGAGGGCTCTCACATCCAGTTCTTGCCAGAGAGCATCACTGTGTTGCCATGCCAACTAACAGGCATCCAGGGTGTGGGGGGCCCCTTGTCCCAAGCTCCCAAGGCCCCGCCACGAGCCTGGCCCATCACTGCTGTCTTCCAGAATGCCCAAGCCCAGGGCGGAGGGTGACAGGAGGGTGGAGTGGTCTGTCTACATACACACCACAGGTGACCAGACAAATACTTTAATTTGTTTTTGGAGGCATAATTTAGTCATCTTACGTAAAGCACTTTTCACTCTGGCAACCAAGGGTTACAGAAGACTCAGCACCAAAGGGTGACAGGGAACGTGTCCCTCCTGTCCCCCAGCCCTGCCCTCCCCTGCAGCCACATCCCTTTGCACTGTCACAGGGCCAGGCCCATACAGCCACCACACACACCCACACACCCACACGTGTGCAACTGGAAAGGAAACCAACACCCACTAAATCACACGGGGAAAAGATTTAAAAGCATCTTCCTCCCCATCTGATTCTGAGACCCAAAACTCCGGCTAGAAAGGCTGTGACTTCACGTCCCCAGCCTCCATCGCTGTGTCCTGCTAAGAAGGCTATGCAGAGGCCCCAGTTCCCCAAGGTTCCCTTTGGAGGTAACATATCCCCGTATCAGTCACTCTGCTTATGTCTGTTGTCACTGTTGCCATAGGCAGAGCCCTTGTCAATTTCCGTCACGCCGATCATCCATCGAACTCCCATAGAGGCTGTGGAGACAAAGGAGGAGTAGGGTTAGGATTCTGAGCAAGATCTGGGCTGTGTGTGTGGTGAGAACCTTGCAGGGTCGCAAGGATTGAGTGCCAGTGGTTTGCGGGCCGTTTCCTAGCGCTCGTTTGTAGTCGCATCAGGTGACCCTAAGGAATAGCAAGGCTGCTCTGCTGGGCTTTTGTTCTTGGTTAACAGTCTGGCAGGCTGCATGTGGCTGCTTACAGGGGCCTCAAAGGTTACTTTGCTCTCCATGCCCATCCCCAAGCACAGGGGCTGTTCTGCAAGTCCCTGGTGGTTGTTCAGAAGGCACCTGAAGTGTGCCTGGATTGGGAACCTACCAGAAGCCTCGAAGGGGAAGAATTCTGGTATCTATCAAGGACACACCAGGTCTCAGTACTGGGGATGAGCATCGGAGCAGGGACAGAAGCCCCCAGCCTCACTGAGTGCCTTCGCTCCAGGGATGTGGCATGCGACAGAGAAGGTGCCAGCCCCATGCAGGATGCCAGTGAAGCACCAGAGAGCAGGAAAATGGGACTACAATGCCGAAGTTGCTGTGGGAGCTACTCCTTCTGGAGAGGGCAGGCTTGGTGAGCTCCTTGGGTGGGACCATGTGTTAATCATGCTGGAGCCCATGCTGAGGTCCTGCAGTCACCATTTATGGTAAATGTTTTAATAATGGACCAGTAAGTTACTGAAGTCTCCCAAATCATGATGATTCTGTCACCAAGCATTACCATCAGACTCCGTAAACTTGTCACTCAGGTCACCTGGAGCAGACTGGGAAAGGAGGCCAGCTAAGTGGAGTGGGTGCACAGAGCCCATAGGTTGATTAAAGAGACTTTTGCTTGGGGCCATACCTGGAGAGGCTGGAACGTGAGCCCTGTCCCAGTCCTAGAACTCCCAGGGAAGACCTCATTAGTAGTGGAAATAATGATATTGCTGAGAATAAAGAGGTCAGTAAAACATGGACTTTGGCTCAAAGGCCATAGGAGGAATAAGAGACACACAAAGCCACTTACGTAAAAGTCAGTCTCAGGCTAGAGGGTGATACAGCATGGGTGTGCGGGGCCAGGAGAGAGCTTAGGCCTCACAGTGAGGGGGCATGGGGGTCCCTGATCCTTCCTGTCCCAGAAATGAGGTGTATTGCTCTCCATCCTCTTCTGTACATTTTTTCCCTGCAAGAAGTGGGTGTTGAGCTGGGGATTTAGCTCAGCGGCACAGCGCTTGCCTGGCAAGCGTGAGGTCATGAGTTCAATTCCCGGTACTGGAGGAGGGGGGAGAAGTGGGCGTTGTTTTTTAAGTTTTCTAACATTAAAATGTATCTTATTTTTAAGAAGACCATAGTGGGGCCTACTATGGAGATGAGAACCAGTTTGCCTGTTGCAGCCATAGGGTCTGGTATTGGTTAGCTTGATACAGGAGGCAGGTTTATGTCTCATGAGGAGTTTAGGTGGTCACAACTGATTAGGAGGGAAAATCAAGTTAAGGAAACTCCACCTACAGGGCTTTACCTATGCATAGATGTTTGAAATTGCAACGGTGTGTATCAAGCTGTCAGGATCGGTTCTCTCAGGGGACTGGATCCCAGGGGGCTGTACCCTGAGATACTTTCCATTTTGTGTATTTTTGTAAGGTTTGGGTCTCCAACAGCACAGAGCATCTTTATGTTTCTCAGGAGTAACTGGGAACGTACGAGGCTGTGCATCCCTGGACTCTGCCAGTCCCCATCTTGGAAAAGCAGACAGACTGCCCACTATAGAGAGCCCCAGAAGTAGACCCCAGGCTCTGGGGCACAGGGACATTCAGCTCCCGTCCACCTCAGCTCCAGCAAGCACTGAGCAACAGAGGAGCAATGACCCAACAGCCCTCCCTCAGCAAGAAGCAGCAGTGTGCGCGCAGGCCCAGTGTGCAGAGGAAATGGCGTGGCGGGAAAGACTGCCAAACATAGCCACTGCACACAGTGGAGACGGGTCGCAGCATGCCCATCCCATGTCAGACCGCCTGGTCGTGACAGGGAAAGCTCTGTGGGGGAAGGCCAGACCCAGGGCCCCTGGAGCTCCAGCTAGGGTTTCTCCTGAGAAGAGGAGGAAATGATCAGAAGGAACTGGTCTGTGCAGAGGACGGGACAGGACTCTGGCGAGAAGGGTATAACCACTTTGTTGCCATCCTAACGGAAGACAGGGAATTGCAGTTTTGGGCAGAAGCTACATGAGCAGACCGTGAAATTCTTTCCAGCCCAGGTACCTAGGAGTTCCCTGGGAGTCCACTGGCCTACACGGAACTTGGTCTTGCCTCTGCGCTCCCCATGCTGGGCACTTTCCCTGCAGCAGGCAGAGCTACTGCCCTGCTTTGAGTCTTTCCCTCCACTCACCCATACAGAAGACAATGATGAAGCTGGCCAGAGTCACGGAGGAGCCACTGCTGACCATGCTGACGAGGAACCGGAAGAAGGGGTAGAGCAGCAGGGAGGCCCAGAACAGCCAATTAAGTAGCGCCCAGGGCCGCCGTGGGGGGACCTTGGGTGTCTCTGGGAAGATTCCTGTCCTGTAGTATTCCTCTTGAAAGGCATCCTGAGGGCAAAGAAGGGGACCTTCAGACTTGAGCCTACACTCAGTGGCAGGATGGTCTGGAGGCCCCACTTTTTCTTCAAAGCGCTCAGAGACCCATGGGGCCTCTCTGGCTCCAGCAGAGCCTTAGAGGAAGAGTTTTGTAGATAATGTGTTCATGTGTTCTCGGTGTGCCATGTGTTCTCGGTGTGCTTGGCTGTCTCCTTCCTACAGGTCACACAAAGAAGCAGCTGCAGCTGGCACTAAGTGCAGGAGGGAGGAGCCCAGGCCGTGCCTCCCTGACTGTGCAGGTGCCGAGCCTGCGCCAGCATCCCAGGCTGCCACACAGCATGGTGGTACCTCCCAACCCAGCTGTAGGAGAATGAGATTCTGGCCCAAAGCTGGTGCCCCAGTGAGTGGCCTATCTGCACCCTGCCTAGGACACACACCACACTGTCATTCAGACTTTCAACATAAATTCCTGGCATTCCTGTGTGGCAAGCCACCACTGGCCATCCCTGTCTGCTGCCCTGGAGCTTCCTGGGGACCTGGCCTTCAAGGCTGCTCAGGTAACAAAGGACTGTGGAGTCACAGGTTGTTGCACTCAGGAGGTTAACCGCATGCTCAGGACTAATCCTTCCAAAGGTGTGTGCCTTTGGAGAGAAATCTGTGAGTGCTAAGGCCCTGCTTAGAAGGAAACAACAGGTAGAGACCCTTGAGGAGCTGGACCACTGGGCTCAAGATGAGCCAAGACCCTATGATTCTCATAGGGCTGCATCCCACTGATGTTTTGAGATCTACAGGCAACCAAACTGTTGAAAGAGAAACAATTAAGATGGTATCTATTGCAAAAGGGAGCTCCCACAGTACCGGAGCATTTTGCCTTAGGGCCACCAGCAGGAAAACAGACTGGGGCTGGGCCACTTCTTTGCTATGAAGTAGCTGCATCCTTTCCTTAAAGCTGCAGTAAGGGTATATATTGCTATGCTCTTTGCCCTATTTCCAACTAGAACATCTGCCGCAGGATCGCCAGTAACTGGGTCCACGAGATCTCACCCAGTGGGAAAGGCTTGTTGCCATGTTCAGTCCCTCGTGGCCATGGGGTACATCCACAGCTGTGACGTGGAGGGATTACTGAGACCCTGAGGCACTCACCTTCTCCTGGTAGAGCTTGTGGAGCCAGGCCGAGCACTGGTCATCATCGTCTGGGATGTCTTCCATTGGAATCCGCCTGCAAAGGCAGAGGGCAGCTAGCAGGGCAGGTCACACCGGACACCCAGGCGCTCTTTCAGCGTGACAGTGATGGCCATCCTGGGGTTTTATCTAGGTAGCCTAAACAGTGTACATGTGGGGAAGGTAACTGAATGGGTAGAAAGCCGCCAAAATGTGGCTGGCCTGGGCAAGGACTTGCAAGGGCCTGACTCAGTGACACAAAGACATGGTTGATTCCATGTCTGCTTCCACCTTCTCTCCCAACTCAAGGAATGGCTCCCAAGTCTGATTGCCAGAGAAGACTATGATGCCTCAATTTCCACATGAGACGATACATACAGAATCCATGCCATGTGATCAAAAAATACAGTGAATATTTTAATCTTTAAAACTTACTGCACTGAAAGTTGCATTATCATCACTCCTCAAAATATTCCCCCCTTGCTTCACATGCACACCTCGTCATTCTCGCCCCTTTCGGGGGTGGTTCTGGAAGTCCTGTTTGCTGAGTATCTTTGCGTTGTCGTGTTTTCTTCGATGTCCTGAATGACCTTTCAGGGTCATTTTGACTTTGAGGAACTGCCAGAAGTTGCATGGGGTCTCAGATCCGGTGAATGAAGTGGGTGAGAACACACTGCAGTGTCTTACCCATCTGCTTTCCTGCTGGGTGGCACTCAGCGGCAGCAATTGCTATGTTTTTTTATTACACCTCACAAAGATACTCAAAAAGAACTATCAAAGTTGCTTCAGAAAGTGTAAAAAATAATGGGATAAGTGGCTGAAGCAAGCGAGAGTGTCTTGTTTAATGGCAGTGAGTCTTTTATTGTAATATTTTAACTTAAATATTCACTGTATAATTTGATCACCCCTTGTGTGTAAAGGAAACATTACACTAATTCTTTCACCCACGTTGTGACTTTCTGGTAGTGGGCAAGTATCTCCCGCCAGATGGCCTCTCCAGCCTCCTTCCTGGGTGTCACGGAGGCAGACCTGCAGCAAGGGCCGGAGCAGCAGAAGATGTGGATGCTGGGCATCTGCTCTCCCCAGACGGGAGGAGTCGGGGGAGTTGCACCAGGTCCTTCGGTTCACATAGAGGCCTGGGGTGTCATTCTGCTCCCCAGGTGCCACTCACTGACTCGAACGTGGCCCCAGGGATGGTACTGTCAGGGGCATGACACTCATCCATCTGCAGACAGCCTGTCCTGAATACAGGAGATGTGTCTGCTACATGTCCTGGTGTCTATCTGTCTGTCTCTCTGTTCTAGGTCTCCTGCCTCTTGTGATTTCAAGGAATGTTCATTTAGATCTGCTTTTTTTTTTTTTATGATTACATAATTTCTATTGAGTGTAAGTCACAAGTAAAATCATATATATTTAATGTGTACATCATGTTTTAAGATGCATATCTGTTATAGCCAGGCATGGTGGTTCACAGCTGTAATACCAGTACTTGGGAGGCTGAGGCAGGAAGAGTGCCATGACTTCAAAGTCAGCCTGTACTACATAGTGAGTTCAAGGCCAGCCTGAACTATAAAGCAAGACCCTGTCTCAAAAAAGTACCCCAAAATACATGTATGCTGTGAAATGATTACTACAAACTTATGAACATATCTATCACCTCTTACTCACATACTCCTAGCAATTTTTAATTTTCTCTGCTTAGAAACATTTTTAATAGCACAAATGAAAAGAATACTCTTACACAAGAAGAAAAATATGCTCAGCATCTCAGTCCCAGAGATAGAGTAAAAGTTAAGTGAACACCATTGTAGATTTCTTGATACCTCTATATTAATGGAAATTTAAAAATTGTCAATGCCACGTATACTGTTTTATAACCTGATACTTCACTGAACAGTGTATGAACACCTTTTCACCTCAGTAAATTTAATAGACCTTTTGTCCACAGAAGAGTCTGTCAGTCATGACTTTCCATGGGTCATTTCGTTCCCCACTATGCCCAGAAATGGGAAGAAGAGACACTTCTAGAACTTACCTACCACACTACAGATATAGGAGTGTTGAGGGGCATAGGTAATCCTTTTCAGAGGCTGTGAGAGTGAACTGGCTTCGGTGGGTACTTTGGCTGTGCACTCTTAATTCCCACATATGCTCCGAGAGTTGCAGTTACTCAAGAAAATTATATTGTGCAGGTAAAATAATCCCGCACTTTGCCAGGGTCGAGCTGGCTACTCTATGGGGCTCCTGCCAAGTGCTGAAGATACTTGGGGAAACCCCCTTCACCCCTGGGAGAAGGGCTCCTTTTCTCCTGGTCTGCCATGCAATTAAGTAATAAGGCAGTGTATCAACTGCACCATTAGAAAATAGTAATAACGGTGCATATATTATATTTGGGGGATGTAGGAAAGCCAGAATCATTTCCAAGTAGGAAGCAATTTAAACTCAGGCTATCAACCCACTAAAACATCCCTCAGAAAAGTCTAAACACCTTTTATAGCCCAGTGTGAGCAGCCACTGGAGTTTTCATTGTGTCATGTAATTTAGCATCTGTAGGGCCTTTAACTAGGAAGTTGGGTACCACTTGATTGGTTCTCTGTGGGTATTTCAAGACTCTCAATTAGCATTTAGAGATGGCCTGCAGTGCAAGAATCGATCCCATGCCTGACCTCTATCAGATTGGGTTTTAATACATAATCACTGACTTAATGTGCCTGTAACCCTTGTGCTTTACTGTAGACAACATCTTCCAATTCTGTCTCTCACTAATCTTGGTGATATTCTGGAGACTAGGTGTTAGACTCACTGTGTAAATTCATAAACCAGTGAAAAGAACTGGCTTTCCTAATATCTTTGGGAAATGTTTTCAATAAAATTGGGATTAGCCTGGAATGTGAGATGTGACATACTGCAAAAGTGTTCTCCATTTGCTCCTTATAAATGATGTATGCTGTTTGTGTGTCTTTCTGCAGAGAAGACCCATCTTTAAGGGGGTCAATAAAATAATCAGTTTACACAGCCTCCAAATGACTGCTTATAAAATACGGTCTCGTCTTTCCTTCCTCCAACTTGAGCTCTGTGACATGAATGAGCTGGTAAAAGAGGGGCCTGGGAAGGAAGGACTCTTCCTCAGATTATTTCTGAGAGCAGGAGGTGTCTCTTGAGTTTATAATATAAATGTAGACTGTGAACAGACTCACTGCAAGATGGACCACAAGATGTTAATAAGATGCCTGTGGAAGGAGGTCTCCGTCATTTCTGATTTATTTACCTAGAAGTGACCTTTCTCTTTTTGGAGAAGACACTTACCTAACGTAGCAGTCAGCATGATATTTCTTTCCATTTAGGACTCCCAGGAGTGTTGGGTTTTCATTATTTCTGAAATTGAGTGTACAGTCATATACAGCTGGAACTATAAAAATAAGACAAACACAAAGCAGTATATAGCTGGTGAACCCAGTTCTGTTCGTAGATACACATACTGGAGGACACAATCACGTCACTAGTGGATTGTCTATAAGTGGCTCAATTATAGATTCTTCTCTGTGCATTTCTATATTATTCAGATGTTCTACATTGAGCATGTATCAGCTTTTGAACCACAAGAACCCACTATAACCTAGTAATAGAAACCATAGCAATTACTGAGGTCAGATCAGTTTTAAAGGAACATTATAATATTGGATGTAGATACATGACAGCAATGATTTTAGTTTTCTAATGTGTAGAGCCTATCATGGTCAATAAATGCTGATATTTAAACAAATGTAGATAGTAAATTAATCCAAAATATATTATGTAAGGATGTGTCTAAGTTACAGAAATACAACACTCTAGGCATGTATTTCCCCTAGAAAAACAAGACAGCTGCCAAGCTGGGGTAAGACACTGACTATTAAGTCCTTAAGGAACTGAATTATAGCTCACTGAAGCATAGCCGAGACAACTATCTGTGGTTCTAATGGTTCTACTCAACAGTGAGTTAACCTGTCAGTGTGATGGAAGTTATGTCAAAAGTCACTGCTGTAGCCCCAGGCCCTGGCTTGTACTCAAGAAGTGCTTATTGGGTCAGAGAATGGAAGACTGCACTGCAAATGAGTGAACGCAGCATAGAAATACACGGTGGAAGCTGCTGACGTCCAGGACAGGCGTGGGCTGTAGAAAGAACTGAAGTTCTGGAGTCAGCAGGGTGTAGATGCAAAGGCCACCTTTTCCCATAGGGGAGGGGATGCTCAGGTGGGCAGCTCAGCCCTCCAGCTTAATTCTCCTGGACAGTGGGCTTGTGGTGTCTTTGTCATGTGGTGGCATGTGGCACTTACTAAAGGGCTCAACACGCTGTACTCACTTATAACATGGGTCTGGCCTTTCAATGAGAGCTGTGTCTGATGCAGTTGCTGTCAGTCGAAGGAGTGGGAAATGATAGGAAAGGTGGAAAGGCATTGGTCTGGTCGGGAACATGAAGAACCAAGATTCAACAGTGATAAAATTACCATCCATTTCCTTCCCGCTGTCTGACCCCGTGTAGGGCCTGCAGTCCATTATCTTTGCCATGGGCAGAGGGTCCCTGCTGCTGACCTGCAGGAGTGCCTGGGGACAAGACACCACATGCCCAGGACCACCCTCTCTAGTCTGGTGAGGTCGAACTGCTGTCTCGGCAGAGTGCCAAAGTGGGCAACATCGCAGGTTACAACACTGCAGAATACCTTCAGTGCTGAGCTAAGTGCCTGTCTCAGGCCTGGGAGAGTGTGGGGACTCTTGACTTTTGCTCCATGAAGACGAGAGAGCAGATGAAGACAAGGCTATGAGCTGGTGGCAGGGGGTCAGAGGCCTTGCCACCTCTCCTCACAGGATGGAGCCCAGCCTGTCCTCCACATATCTGGCATGTGAAGCCTGAGGGAGGCTGTGTAACTCCGCACCACTCTAGAGGCTTCCAAAGCTCTGTCCAGGCCCAGGGAATGGGGTGCAGCCCACTTCAGGGCCCAGGAAGCTGGGAGTGGGAGTTTGAGAGCAGGGGTGTATGGGTGGATAAGGAAGGCTGTTTTAAACTAGAAAAAGGAGGATTAAAAAGGAGGCAGAGAAGCACATGACAGGTGGCCAGAGGGAAATTGCTGTTGCTATTTTCTTGTAACCTGCAGAGATTTAGGACTTCACATTCACAGGTCAGCAGATTCACAGGTCAGCAGCCACAGACCGCATGTCCAGGCTGTCATTTGCAAGCAGCTGATGGGAACAGATTGGCAAGAAGTACCTTAAAGTTCCAGGGGGGCTCCCTCAGTCTGCAGCCCTGTGGCCTGACTGACCCCAAGGGCTCTAAAGGCCAGGGGCAGCCTCCAGGGATCCAGCGCATACCACACAGCCCTGCAGTGCACCTGCTGAGCAGCAGAGGGCAATATTCACTGGAGTGCCCCAACAAGGTGTCCAGGCAGGTGTACACTCGGCCTAGTCCCAGGTTCTGAATCCCCTTGGAGGCTCAGTTTAGCAGCCACCCCTAGCTGCTGGGAAGCATAACAGAAAAATCCACAGATCAGAGGGTGCGGGAAACAGAGGCACAGGGACAGTCGTCATCCTTACCTACACCTCTCAAGCACCTCACTGTGATGGCGAAGCCTTTGGTGCGGGGCAGCAGATGGTGCTTGAGACTGGGCAACCCCTTGGCTTGGGCCACTTGCATGCTGATCTGGTGCTTCTTCTCGGTGAACCGTGTGCCCTCACAGTGGATCAGGAACTGGAAGGCAGAGGATGATAGTCACACAGGGTCCCTTGCATAACCCTGAGATCACATACAATCCTAGTCACGGGGTTGCACGGTCACAGCACCCCTGGGGTCACATACAACCCCAGGTCACACACAATTCTGTGTTCACCCATAGCACATACAGTCCCACAGGAGGTAGGGCATGCTGCTTTTGAAGTACATACAAGGTACTTCTCGGGGTAATCCCGGAGATGCATCAGGCTCTTGGCAACTGTCTGACGATCTTGTTCCCACTTGCGTGTGCAGAAGATCATTTCAGTGAAGTACCACATCCAGCCAATTATTGGGACATAGGCCAGCTCCTTCTTGGCTAGGACTTTGGAGTTCTGAAAGGTAGAAAGCAGCCCAGGTGTTCATGAAGGAGAGAAGAGGGTCACTTGCTATGGCTGTTGGAGATCTTAGTGGGAAAGTGCGAATGGTCATGCCAAAGGCTGTAGGGATGGTTCAGAACACACAGACCTTTCTTTCCACTGTGATCCCGGAGCCTGTCCCACCATGTCAACTGGAAGGCAAGGCTTTGCTCATTGCTAAGCACCAGTAGGTGTCTGTAAAAGCACCAGCTCCCAGCCGGGTGCATGAGGGTCTTGAGTTGCTTCCACAGTCCCCAAGGCCCTTCTAGGTAACTGTCATCTTTTGTGGTCACTAAGCTCATCATACAGTGTGCAACATTAGTTTTTGCAATTCCTCAGATCTCGGCCTGTCAGAAGAGCCTGGTCAGCTCTGTGGGCAAGGCAGGCAGGTGCTCATCTGATGGACTGGAAAGCAGAGCCTGGCGGGATTCTCAGGGTCACATGCCTGGCATACGGGGCAGCACCCTCTGTCTATCCGGCTTGCTCATCTCTGAGACCTGAGTGGTTGCTGAGTGCCACCAGAGACCTTCCTGAGGTGGCATAAGGAGAACCTAGCTTACTCCCAGGCTGGCCTCTCCAGTGGACTCAAAGCCAGGTCCGGAGCCCCAAGGCTGCTGGGTGGGCCCCTCACCAGAATCACCCCGGCTTCTGCCAGGCTGAGAATACCAGGGTTGCAGCTGGGAGGAAGGAGCAGGGGGGGCCCCAAACAGCTTTTCATCTAATAGACTTGGCTTCTGTATTTTCTCTCTTCACTTTGGAAATGGCCAAGGTGCTTTTTGTCTAATGAGACAGGTGACTAAACAGTTAATGTGGGCAGTAAAGGCAGCCTGAGCTGTTCTGGTAGCAGCTGTCTGATTATGGCCCCAAATGTAAGATGCCAGACTGAGACAAGTCGATGTTTCCACACACCCCTCTCCTCCCCTCTCTCCCTCTCCTCCCCTCTGCTGCCACAGCCCTATGTAACCATTAATGCTCATACTTCAACCCCACTGGATTAAGAAACACCTAATAGATTAATGGAGCATGCTCCCAGGTCAGTCTGGTGGAGCTTGAAGACACGACCTTGGTCCCTGTGCCTGGCTCCTCTCCCCTTTCTCTCTGTCACTGTTCCCCTGCTCTGCTCCCTGGCTACCATGGAGTAATAAGCAACTTTGCTCTGCCACACCCTTCCTCCATGATGTTCCTGCTGTGGAGCAGATAACCATGGACTGAATCTCCTGCAACCATGAACCAAATTAAACCTCTCCTCCTTTAAGTTGTGGGAGTCAGGTATCGTATATGAAGGAGGAGAAAGCTGACTAAAGACCATGGCCTTGTACCCAGCCTAGGGGAGCCCTTGCTCCCCACTTTCTTTCTTTTATGACAACCCAGTTGCAACTTTGCAAAGGGACAATAATCCATGTCCCCTCTCCCACTGTTCAAAAAAGAGAAAACGTGTGAATAGCTACTTTCTACCTGTTCAAAAAGCAAAACTCTTCTCTCATGGGGAAGAAAGAGCACAGACATCTTTCAGGTTTAGTGACTCCACTTTGATGAGTTTTGTTTTTATTTTTGACACAAATCTTACCTGCAAATTCTTGGGAAGAGAGCATAGGTATACTGTCTGAAGCCCAGCCAAAGAGTCACAGTAGGGAGTAGGGGAGTGAACTGCTGCCCTAGGCTGGGCACAAGACCATGTGCTTTATGTAGGTCCTACTGAATTCTAAACTGAGAACAGTCCCCTCATTTGATAGATGATCAGACCACGGCTCAGAGGCTGAAGTAAGTTTCCTAGAATCACGTGTCACTGGGCTAACAGCTGGAGATGCTGAAAACTTCAACCAGCTGTCTGGCTGAAGTACCGTATCAGTGACCCTGGAGGCCCTGAGCAGACAAATTAGACAAAAAAATTTTCACTGATGAACTAGCTTATTTGTCTGGTAGGTTGAAAGTATTTTTAAAACTGTGTGGACTTGTACACATTCCAAAATCCCTGTAGTGGTACCCAGGAATTAGAGACCCTCTGAGGAGGGGTGCACACCCTCAGAAGGGTGACCCCTGGGCCGGCAGGGAACTGGTCTCATACAGCTGTCTGCCGATGTCTGTGGGAACAAGCACTCACATTTTCTGTGTGTTCTTAGTTGTGTTTCTGCTCCACAAGACGAAGCAGGTTTTAATGAATGGCCTTTGATGACCACTGTGGAAGGGAAAGGGCAGTTCCACCGTGGTGTGGAATACTGATATGGACCCAAAGGAAGTGACTGCAAAAGTCCATGTTGCCAAACCTGCCCTACACTTCGTGTCATAAGTGCAGCTTCACTGGCACATGGCCACTCGCGTTCACTTTTTTTTTTTTTTTTTTTTTTTTGTCTTTTTGGGACAGGGTCTCTCTATGCAGTTCAGGCTTGTCTTGAACTCACTTTGTAGTCTAGGCTGGCCTTGAACTCGCAACGATCCTCCTGCCTCAGCCTCCCGAGTGCTGGGATTACAGGCGTGTGCCACCATGCCTGGCTTCATTCACTTCTGTATTGCCTGTGGCTGTCACAGAGGAATTGAATGGTTGTGACAGAGATGATATAGCCACAAAACCCAAAATATTCATTTTCTGGCCCATGACAGATGAAGTTTGTAAACTTTTGATTTAGAGCCATTAAAATTTGTTTTCTATGAATACTTAATGGCTTGAGAAAAGCTTATTGCTTTAACCCTAAATTTCCTACAGGTCTACAGCAAAAGCTGAGTCTATAGCCTGAGTATGACTACAGGAAAAGAAAAACAGTAAATCAGAGGAAAATGATAGCTGTTATTGCTGGGTGGTCATGTTGTGAGTGAGTTCTACTGTGTTGGAGTTTCCTAATTTTTATAAGAAAATAATAGGCGATTGACATCAGCATGTTTTCACCATTTGTTTTGGGAACATAACTGAAGTTCTGGATCAAAAATGATCTGTCTGTTCCTGACGATGAAAAGGAACAGGAGAATTTCTGTTTTATATTGAAGTTCATCTTCCAGTCTTAAAATTTGGGACATCATCAATAGGTGAAGTTTCGAGATTGGTTAATGTTAGTAAGCAACTCATTAAATATTAAAGTAGAAACTTTTGCCTTATGGATTGAAGAGACTTCACTTGTCTTCCTTTCCTTGGAAGACTGTGCAGGAAGCTTTGGATTCAGATAGATAGTCTGGTTTTAGTGAGATTCTTGAGCCAGCTGTGTAACTCTGGTCAAGATACTTAAACTTCCTGAGCTTGGTTTTCCCAGCTATGTTATGAGGAAAATAACAACTATCTTGTAATGTTCCCATAGAGCTTTCTTAGCATATGGAAACCTACCAAAGCACAGAGCTGGGAACTTTACACAAAAGTGTTCAGGAGCTTATAGCTATCATCACCATCACAGGGCAGGTGGGTGTCTTCAGCCTCTTTCCACTCAACCCATTTTCCAAGCCACACCTGAGAACAAGAGCATCAGTAGATCACAGTCATCCAGGTACCACCGGATAGGCATTCTACCAAGACTTACGGAAGTTAACTCATCGTGACTAACAGACTAGAAGCTACTGTTAAAATATGCTTGTAGTCTCCTAGGAAACAATCAACAAGGCATGGATATCATGACTGTCTGAGGCCAATCAATGGTTTCTATGTGTGGGTAGCAACAGTTTCAAGGAAACACCAATTTCACTGATTCTAGATTTACTCTGCAGGTAGACCTAACAGACTACTGATAAGTTAGACCTATGTACAAATCCAGTTAGACAGAAATGCCTAGAAAATCTGCAGTACAGCACCATCTACAACCACAAAGGACTGACTGTCCTACCTAGCCATTTTCTGGCTGTTGTACGATCACTGTTGTCATAGTATGTCCTACAGTGAAAAGTTTTGGAAACTTTCCAAGAGCGCGCGCGCGTGTGTGTGTGTGTGTGTGTGTATGTGAGAGAGGGAGAGACAGAGACAGAGAGAGACAGAGACACAGAGACAGAGAGACGGACAGAGTTCAGGAAGGTATGACAGGGCTGCCTAGCCCACCTAGTGAAGTAGACAGAGCCAGGCCCTCCCATCACTCAGAGCATGTAGTCTCATGAGCCAGGAAGTGAGTGCCTCAGCCAGGGCACCTCCAGGACAGCGCCCACTTGGCGGTAGTAAGAACTGTTTGTTGGGATCTGGTTCCTCCCACCCTGAGACTCCAGAGCCTCTGAGTGGAAATGATCAGAACGAAGTCTGACTAGTTAAGATTTTCTCCACTGTGGGCACCTGCCAAGTGGTAAGATGAAAACACTCAGTGCCAGTGTGTTAAGACAGCCTCTGTTCAGCCTGGTTTCTGTGCTTGCCCCGCAGTACACACACACACACACACACACACACACACACACACACACACACAGGGAGCAGCAGAGAACCTGATCTGGGCTGAGACTAGTTGGCATAATGGCCCAGGTCAAACTGTCATTTGCATCTCTTCCTGCCTGGTCTTTGTTTCTCTTTCTTTTTCTTTCTTTCTTTCTTTCTTTCTTTCTTTCTTTCTTTCTTTCTTTCTTTCTTTCTTTCTTTCTTTCTT